TAGATGATCAGCTTTTGCCGGCATTCACACCACGTGTCCATATCAGAAAGTGATGTAAGTGGGGCCCAGGCTCTGTAATATCGCCACGTCGTAAGCCAGCTTCTAGTCGTCGTCGTCAAGGGCTGTTGTTAGGTAGCGTGGGACGGCGTTATAACGGTCGTCTGTCCGATCTGCACATTCTTGTACTGAAACCAGATCAGACCAGGTAGCTAGATAGCAGTTCAGTTTAACTTTGATCTGATGCAAAAGTTAAACTTTGCATTCGTTGACTTTGGGGTTTTCCCTTCGTGCTTGGGGGGGGGACCTTATGGCTGTATTCACTGTATACCGCATGTTGCTGGTATCATCTCCCTTTCATCCACGCAAGATTCCAACTTAATCAACCATGCACACACACAAAATAAAATAATAATAATTTCAGCATTATCATAAGTGATTCGTTTGGTTTTTTTTTTTTTTCTTATCATATTAGGAGTATAATTTAAATTTCATACTTTAAGTTAATATGATTTTTGTAAAGAGAGAGTAATCATTAGATTATAAGGATGTGTTTTAGTTTTATATTGCACGGTTGTAATTGCACCAAACCAGCAGTCATTTTTCAATCCATGTCTTTACTTCAAGTAAACCTGCAAAGTCCCAATGTGGATTCTTATGGTAGATATTTTAATATTTAAATCAACAATAATAAGATCTACCTTTAGAATAATGAAAAAAAAAGCTTTATGTCAATTTCAATTACTTTTTTGAGTTAGTCACTTAGGGGTATTTATAGGTTTTAATGAAGTGTCCACGTGACTTGTTTAACAAGATAATCAGAATTTGACGTGTCCCTTTAAGCGATGATTTCGGGACTGAGAAATATTAGGTGTGGATAATTAGGTACAGACATGTTCATTGTACCTATCATGTAGCTGTTTGACCAAGAAGTGTTAAATTTAACCTTCACCTTGATTATTAACAAAATATAGCAGTACATCTGAAGGTAAGAAACTTGGGCTTATCCTTACAATTGTATTATTTAAGGGTAATGATCTATAAATAATTTATTATTATAAAAGAAAAAAAATTAAAATATTTTAATATTTAAAATATCAAAATTTTTTATAAAATTATCTAAATATTTTCAATAAATTTTTTTATATATTAATTCATTAAAAATATTTAAATAATTTTTAATTTTTTGCAATCTCTTATTATAATATTGATATATTATTAAATAACTATACATATAATATTAGGTGTCTTTAATAAAATAAAAAATTTTAATTATTAAATAACATACAAGTTATATATAAATTATACGTAAAAATTATTTTTTAATTATTATATTTTATTAAATAAGGATCAAAATTAAAAACCCCTCTCAGCATCCCAACTGTACAGTTCTTATAAGTGTGTAAATTTAATAAAATATATAAAATTTTATATAATTTTAAATTAATTAATTAATTTTAAAGTTAAAACTTATACTGTTTCTATTTAAAAAGTAAACCCCTCTCACCAAGTAAAGTAAAGCAAAGAAAATGTTATTTATTAATCACCATCATCATTTTCCATTCATATTGACAAGTTAAAGCTTACTTGGAAAAGACACATAAAAGAAAAAGAAAAAGAAAAAATAGTTTACTTGGAAAGGAGGACAGATAAAATACACGAGCAGAAAAAACAAAAGAGCTTGCTTGTGGAGAAGAGATAATTATCATTTGATTCCGGCTGCCAAGGGTGAACCATGATGGTAAATAAAATGGAATCATTGCATAATTTATTTATAAGTTTTCTTATTATATGTCTTAAAATATAAATTATAAATATAATAAATATA